AAGAGAAAGAACTTAATGACCTTCACATTCAACACGCTGGACGGCTTCCATAATTATTTCATCGCCGCCTCCAGTGTATGCTACTCGTTAAGGAAGAAAAAACAAAATGGGCATTTAATAAACAGAAACAACGTGATGCAATCATAGGGCGCACAACCGCCTTTCCATCAGCGTCATCCGTACCATCAGTTCTTTTAGATGTGATGTTTTGTGGATGGTCTTCACCAGCGCAGGGGAGCGTTGGAAACGGAGCCCAAACAATTCCCATCTGGTGGTTCGACGCTGGAATCCTTGCAGATCTACATGAACCGAAACTTCCATCAGCACCCTTTTTCTCCTCGTATACTTTTCTTTCCTGGGACTTCTACCTGTCTCATGGCACCACTCGCTGCTTCTCCTCCGTGCCTTCCACGCAGCGCAGTGTCACAGCTGTAAATGGCAGGGCCACATGTAAACAACACCGTCGTGTGCCACGCTCGCCACGATGCCGTACACCCTCCACAGATCTGATGATGAATTCGCTGGCGTTTAATGCCGCCTGTAATTTCTAAAATCCCTGCGGTGAATTCGCATCACGCCATTACATTTTGGGTACCCAACGGCATCTTCGGTTTTCGGCGCACACCATTGGAAGATGATGTGACAAAAAAGCTATCATACATGATTGAGGTGGGGGCGCAATCCAATCCATGCAAGACCCCCTCACCCCCTTGTTTTACCTACAATATAATATAATGTATATATATATATGTATTAAAGTCTGTGTCCCACTTAGCCCCTTTACCGTTCCGCTGCAAACTCTTCGTCTGATATTCCCGAGTCGGACTCCGCAGGATGTGCGATGCGGACGTTGCTCAGCATGTCGTGTACCTCCGCGCCCGACTCCTCGAATACACGGGCGGAGAAACTTGTCCGGCGACACGGCGCGCCACGACCGCCATCCGGCATGATACTGCTCTCCCCATCCGCGCACACACCACACGCCGGCCGCTCGATCCAGCCCGGGGAGCGCTTCCGCCGGCGTGACATGCCACGTGAGGCGGCCGACACCGCTTCGTGGCGCTTGAGCGTGTTTTGAATGAACCGCAGCAATCGTTCTGCTTCCGGTGACCGCGCTGATGCCAATGGACTCGCCGTCTTTGCGGGCGGCTGGCCACTATGGGGCAAAACGACGTCGGTTGTCATTGCGGCCGGGGTGTCAAGCAGAATGTAGCGATGAACAAACAACAGGGCGTCGCGGTACCCGGCATCGTACGAAACAACCGCGGTGCGGTACAACTCGGTGACACTCTTCGCTGCATCCGCGAAACGCGCCCGCAGCGCTTCTCGACCGTACTTCGGGTTGGTGGACATAAAAACTTTTAGTGTCAAACGCAAATAGTCGGGAAAAAAAAAGGAACAAAACAACAACTAGAAGAGGGAAAAAAAAATGCCGCTTCGTAAGCAAAACACCAGAGACACAAGGAGCCAAAACCACAGCACGGACAGAAAATATTTAAGCACACATACATAAACATACGGGGTAGTATTCATATATCCGTTTTCTGTGTTATTTGCTGGATGAAACGAGTGGGAGGGGTTGTGCTGTTAAAGGGATGAAGAAGACCATTTTATGCGCCGTGCGACCTCCAGTTTGGAGCGGCGCGAGACTCCCAAAACCCCAGAGGAAAGTCTTGCGAGATCTTTTCCGTGCAGCGAGTATCGCACCACATCGCCCCGCAATGTGTGCAGCTCCCCACCGAGAGCCACAATAAACGCGTGAGGGGCGCACGTGTCCCACTTCTTGATGGTGTCTTCTGGTGAGATGAATACATCGCAACTCTGCACAGAAGGCGACCCTGCGAGCATCGATGAAATAAGAAACATCAGTTTGTTACCCGCGCCTCTTGCACCATGCATCTCAATGGGAAAAAGCTTCTCAAGTACATCAGCAAAGCACTGACTCTTCGTTGTACTGGAACCAATTACACGCAGCACGCTGTTCGCAGATACAATTTTGTAGGTGGCAGCGGGTACCACGCGCCTACCCTCATGCACAATAAAAGGTTCTTTTAATCCAAAGTTCCACACATACGAAAGACTTGTGCTGCTCCTACTGCTGTTTTCAGAGATCATTTGTGCCACGCTGAAGCCAAACACGCGGTTCACTACCCCGGCGACCGGAACACCATCGAGAGTAAGACCCACAAGTGTCAGTGGAACTTCCCACAGTCCCTCAACAAAACAGTTTGTCCCGTCAATGGGATCAATAAACACACCAACCCTCTCGCGCAGTTCCTTCCATGTTGTCGCAGTCACTTGACTACCCATGCGGCATGCGTGGGCCTCAAGCTCCGTCTGATACGGCACCAAGGTGAGTTCCCTATAATACTTCTCCACACAGCGTTCCGCCAGAGATTTCACAGATACGCTTGCCACTTCTTCCTCCCCGACAATTGTGAAGGGCATATCAGAGAATGCGTCCCGCAAAACATGTTCCACGACGGCCTGCGTCACGACATCTGCCGTGGTCACAAGGTCCATGGCGGCGGCGTCCTCCTTGTTGCTCAACTGCTCCTTCACTTTGACGGTTACCGCCTGGTGCAGCAATGCTAACAGAACCTTCTTTGTTTGTGGGTCCTGATCCATGATGGGGAGAGCGGGCAGCTGCGTTTCAAGCTCCTGCACCTTCAGTAGTTCCAGCGCAATGTACCGCTGGGCCGCCAGCGCCCCTCGCACGCAGACCGTAAGCACATGGAGAAGATCCACAGACACCATGGCGCACCTCCGTAATGATTTCGCCCCGTCCAAATTCTCTACAAATAAACTCCTCCAAAGCGACAAGGGAGACGCGGGGCAAAGAAGTAGCCGGATGGGTGGGAAATTGCAGGATCACAACAGAGGAACAGGCAAACACACAAGAAAAAAGAAGAGAGGAAAAGCACAACAAGTAAAAAAACAACAACAACAAACAAACAGGGAAGGCACACACTTCTCCCTCCCCCTTTTGCGTCTCATATTCCCGACGGTGCCGGCGACAAAACAACTCCTGCTGCGACGGCTCGCAGAAAATATCAACCGCACATCGCATCGGCCCTGTCACGATCCGTATTTCGACAGGCAACCGACCTTGTAGCCTACCTCGCGCAGCATCCCATTCAGCGTGACGGCACTGTTCATCCACAACGACGGTGACAACAACGACGCTGTCGCACGGGCGAGAGGGCACGAGCAGCGCATCACCGCCGGAATGCAAACAGCCGCGTCTCGCTCACTTTCTGTGAGTTCGGCAAAATAACTCGACGGGGGCCGGATCCAACTCCACTCGTCTCCCGCCGTGTATTCCGCGGCAAACGGCATCGCCTTCTCGCAGGCGAGCTCCAGCAGGAGAAGCGTGGGGTCGTGATGCGCCAGCAGTTGCTGCCGTGCGTCGGCAAACGCAACGGCGTCAGCGCGCAACAGCGAGACGTGTGCCAGCGCCGGCCCGTGCGCCGCCGCGAGAAGTGCCGCCGTGTCGCTTCCCCAATCAACAATTTTCATTTTGTTCGCCGCTCCAAAGGCAACGGTGTTTGCCGCAACTTCCTCTTCAAGCGCCGCGGCACCCATCGCCGGCATGACGATGGCAACGTGGTACGCTGCGGTGTTGTCGTCATTGCCCGCATCGCCGCTGAGAAGGGCAACAACACACCGAAATCGATCGCCCAGTGAGTTCATTCACCCAACGTCAACGCAGAGTGGCTGCTGCTGCTGCAGAAGACAAAAAAAGAAACAAAGCAAAAGGCAGAGAGAACAGTTATAAAGGAGGGGAAAAAAAAGGGGCAGCAGCCAACAAACTCAGCGGGGGGAAAAAAAAAGCGGTGGACCGACAGAAGCGGATTCCCACGCACAGACGGAAAACAAAAAACAAAAAAAAACAATAAAAAAACACAAAAGGAATGCAACACATAAATATACATGCACATAAATAAATATATATATTTATATATTTGCATCCCTTCACGGCACCATGCCCCGCATTCTACAACAGCTTAAATAGGCGTACTACCAGTTGTAATAGCCATAAGTACAGATGGTTACAAGCGTATTAATACATGTGTGCCTGTAAATAAACCAAAAAGGGGAATAGAAGGTAAGTATGGATGAATCTGCGTACACACAGAGAGAGAGAGAGAAAAAAAAATCCGTTCAACACACAAACTATATTTGAATTTCAACGCTTCTTGTCCCATCTTTGTTTTTCCTTAGCATTATTACTTTGTTGTTGTTGTTGTTTTTGTTGTTTGTAACGAGTGTGAAACATTTACTTCCCAAGATATCCAACAACGTTGTCAACGAGAGTGTACAGCAGGTGACCACCAAGCGCGGGGTAGCGCATCAACATAGAGCGCGCCACACTCTCGCCATTGGGTTTCTGGTGTGACTCCATAGCACGTATTGCGTCATTCACAAGATGCTCAATTCTGTCGTAGCAGGCATCTTGGGCATTCATACGTGCAGCCAGACGGAGGGTATATGTCTTCAGCATCTGCAGGGTCGCCTGCAGCTCTGTTGAGTAGTGGAAGATGCGAGCCGTGGCACCGCGTGTCGTCTTCACCTTCGTGTGGAAAACGTCCTTGTTGTTAAATACCAGCGAAAGGGTAGCCATCGCCATCACCTGAGGAATGGCGCTGAAGGTAAACACGGATGGATCCCGCAGGGAGGCGAGGTACTCAACGACGTGCGGCACGTGCACCAGGGCATCCGCCACCATCGCGTTCAGGCACTCAACGGCTTTGGCCTCATGCAATTCGTCCTTAAAGGCGTGAAGATCGTCCGTGTACTTCTCCCATATCTCGCGTGGCCAAAAGACACGGGGCGGCACCTCGCGAATGTCCTCGTAAAAGTCACGAATAATGTTTGTCTTCTGCAAAAACAGTCCCATGTGATTGGCGTTCGTCAGGTCATCGGCAAGCCGCACGTCCTCCAGCCCACTCGATACATACAGAAGTGTGAGGCCGTGCCCAACAAGTCCGGCGACGTAGTGGCAGTAGAGATCGTAATCCGCCTTGGTCTCAACCTTTCGCGTAAGGAAGTCGCACATTCCATTCGCCATCCGTTCGCAAATACCAGAGATGACGTCCTGGTATGCCTTGCCAAGCCTCGAGTAGGCGCGCGTGACGTGTGTATAGCGCTCAAGAAGCTCGCGCTCACGGCCCACACCGACGCCGGACATGCACCACGTCGTGTCGTGCAGGTGCTCATGAAACTTTGGCAGCTCCCGCAGCTTAAAGTCAACGGGAATACTCATATCGTCCTCCACTGTGTCGAGGGCACGAAGGACAAGGTAAAAAATGCACACTGCATCTCGCATCTCTTCATCGAGCTCCATGATTACAACCGCAAATGAACGTGAGACGGCCTGCAGTATGTCGTAGCAAAAGCGGAGATCCTCGTCGTTACACGCAATACCCTTTTCAATGCGACGCAGCCGCCACTTCATACGCACCATGGCGTACAACTCCTCCATGTACTCCATTTTTCTTTTTCTTCTTGTTTTGTTTTGTGGTTATTTTTAACTTTTTATTTCGGGGGTATATTTATTTGTATATATATGTTGTTTTCTGGCCGCTGCTACTCTACAAGGAGCGAGGCGACGGTCTGCTAAAACCCCTACGACTGTGCTGCACTACACGGAGGGAGAAGAAGAGAAGGGTAAGAAAAGAAGCGGTAAAATGCCACGTTCGGCGAGATGACGGAGAAATGTAACTTCGCCCATTTCCCTCCTTTGCCGCTGCTCAAACAGCCGCCATCGCCCCCCGCACCCGCCCTCCACCGAGAAGGCAAAGACACACACAGAAAGAAAGGCAAGGATGATGGATACATGCAGATGAATGCGAACTCAGACGGTCGTCAAGCACACACACATAAACAGACAGACAGAAATTGTATATGCATATCCGCGCGCAATCATGCAGGCATACGGTCTACGCTACACACTGCAGGGCCACGATGACGATGGAGTTCGTTTTGTGTGTGTGTTTCACGTCGGGGGTAAATTCAGCAATCGTCGAAGCCTCGTCGTTAATGCCGCCAGCTGCGCCACTGTGAGCTCCACGCGGTACTCCCGCGGCCCCGCCTTTAAACCCACAGCCTCGGAAGGCGCATGTGGAGGAGGCGGTGGATGAATGGCCGTGCATGACAAAACCGCCACGTTCGGATTCAACGGACTCTCCCGCACAGTTAACGCCGTCACTTTCATTCGCCCCCTTCCTCTTTACAGCCAAACCACTCCACACATAAATCCACGCACAGACACACCCCTTCCCCTGCGGTAAAACAAAGAAAAAAAAAAATTCACCAGAAACAGCAGTCAGAGCAAAAAAAAAAAGATTGAGAGAGAATCATCCCCCACTCACATGGCGTGAGAGCCGTGTGCAGCCACGGCGGCAAAAGGGGTAAAACGTGTGTCTGTGCGAAGCCCATCCGCCCACCGTCTGTTCATCGCAGGCACCAATCGCTCCTCCTCCCCCTTCCCCTTTCCGCACAGGCCCATGCAGACAAAACACAACCAGACATCCCACACGTCCACATGGACTACATTACATGTGGGATGCACACATGAGCACAAAAAGAGAGGTGTTGGGGGGAGCAGAAAAAGGGCGGCCCTGCAGACGCACCGCCCCGCTCCCAGAGGCACTCCTCCGGGGGAAAAAGGGGGAGGAGGGAGGGAGAGGAGACGGCCGAAGAACAATAACAAAAAAGACGGAACTTCACAGCAAATCAGTGAGAAATAAATAATTAAAAAAGAAGAAAAAAAAAGAAAAGGTTAAGGAAAAATCGGAATACATCATACATATATCGTATATATTTATATATATGTATATAAGAAGGCGCGGCTCTGCTGCGGTGGATGGAGGGATGGCGCAGAGCCCATCCTGCCGTGTTGTCCGCCTTCTCCCCCCCCCCATCCACCCACTCTCCGCAAACGAAGAAGCACACAAAAACACAAACAAACAAACAAGCACAATATATCCGCAGTAAAACACGGCACCATGAGGAGGCGGCGGCCACGGTCCAGCAATACAAAACCAACAAAAAATGGTGGCCGCAGTATTTATCCTTAAAGCACACAAATACTACAACTAAAACACACACACACACACACAAATAAACCCATAAGAAAAAACAAAAACAGGACGTCGTTCAGAGCTTAAAAAACACACACACAAAAAAAAAAAAAAGAAGGCATCAATGATGAGGCACTCGCCACACACAAAAAAAAAAAAAGGTCGCAAAATAAACCAATACGTGAGAGACAAGAAACCATCATTTGCAAAATACATCCATGTACCCACACACACGCATAAATACATCTGCTTGCCACATTAGGCGCCCGTATTTATATATGTATGCGGATATTCCATTGCAATGCAGAGCACACACACACACACACAAATAGTAAAGCCCAAAGGAAGAAGTAAACGCAAAGGAAAATAAAATAAAAAAAACCCAGAGGGAATAATATGCAACAAACGTCCTCTTCTCCACAGGAAATGTGATGTGTCGTATCTCAACAACACAAAGACACACGCACATGATCCTCCTGCGTTCCCACAACTTACATTTCTTCTTTTTTTTTTTTTTTTGTTTCTTTTTTTTTTTTCTTTATTTCTTTTGTCTTCGTCTTCTTTTGTGCGTTCTGTTTACTCCTTTCAATTGGGGAAAAAAAAAATATATTTTTTTTTTGTCCCTTTTAGCCGCTGCACGGCGGTATAATGCCGGCACGGCAAGGGAGGGGGGAAGGAGGCATTCATCGCGTACACGCGCACAAATGGATTGGGTGAGACGACCCCTCATTTCCCCCCTTGCGCTTCTCTTCATTTCGATGTGTTCTCCTTTTCGTCTCTTCCGCACGTGTACATTTTTTTTTTTTTTCTTTTCATTTCGTTTGTCTTCACTTCCTTCTAAAAAGAAAGAAGAAAAATCCTCTTTTTTTTTGTTTGTTTGTTTTCCTCTTTTTTTTTCTTTTTTTTTGTAAAAAAAATTTTATTTTTATTTCCCTCCTTTTGAATTCAACTTTTTTTTTTTAAATATTTTTCTTTAAATTTTCTTTTGTTGTGCTTCGCCACCTCCACGCTCGACCGCTCATTTGTTAACCAAAAGTTTTTTGTTCTTTTTTCCATTTTCCCTGTTTGCAGGCGTGGAGTGACGTCAACGCCGCTCCACCAAAACACGTCGGGCGTGCCATCGCACAGATGTAACGGGCTGCCGGCGGAATAAAATAAATGCAGAGAAGAAAAAAAAAAAAAAAAGGAAAAAAAAAAAACATGCGTGCATCCATGGATGTAATACCAATAAAATACTCCGGCCTGTGAGTATACATGCATACAAATATATATGTATATATGTATATATGTGTATGTATACTCAATGCTCCTAGGCCTGTGTGTCTCTCTCTCTCTCTGTGTGTGTGTGTGTGTACATTACAAAAATACATCGAATGGATCTGCATGAATTTCTCACCGGAAAGCGCACATCCACGGATCTTTCTCTTTCTTTCTCTCTCTCTACATGAACGCCTTAAAATGGCAAGGCGTTCTGCAGAGCGACAAGCCACTCCTCGTACGACGTCTCGTTGACTTCTTTGAACCAAAAGGCCTTCCCAGTTTGGTTTTTCATCGCAAAGACAAACTTTTCATGCGCAATCGCGGCGTCAATGGGACAAACGGATGTCAGGGCGTTCAGTTCAACACGCTCCTCCGAGCCAGTCGCCACATCCCGCATAACGACCGCCTCCTCGTCCAACAAAAGTTCGCAATCCTGCCAGCCGCGATCTGCCGTGTGCCGGGTGACAATCCCTCGCCGCGGCACCACACGACTGCTCTCGTAGTCTTGAATGTCGGAGTTGAGCACCTCGTCCACGTTGCAGGCAATGTCCTTCTGCACATTCTGCGGAATGCGGTTGTGGTTCAATACACTACGACGCAGCGTCTCAAGCCCTTTGCGGATAAACGGCTGTTGAAACAACTGTCGAAGAGACGGGCGATACTTCGGGTCAAGCGAGAGCAGCTGGTCGCACACGTTGCGTAGATCTTCACTGTAAATATTTGGAAGCGGCTGGCGGCGGGCGTGCAGAATGTTGTCAATGAGCTCGTCCATGTTACGGCCGCCAAAGGGGCGTTTGAGGACAATAACTTCATACAACACAACACCAAGCGCCCACATCTCACTCTTCTTGCTGTATGGTGCGCGGCGCCAGAGCTCCGGGCTCAAGTAGTACGGCGTGCCGCAGAATGTGGAGCCGACTGGGTTGGAGAGCGAGTCCTCATACTGCCGGGAGAAACCAAAATCGCCCAGCTTCACCAGCCCTGTGGTGGTAAGAAGGACATTGGCTGTTTTCAGGTCCCTGTGCATCATCTTGTTCATGTGGATGTGGTCAAGGGCAAGACAGAGCTGTAGGAAAATAAATAGGACCTCGTGCTCCTTAAAATACCGTGTGGACTGCTGTCGTGCTTTAATTTGCTTGTAGAGATCTCCACCGTCAGCGTATTCCATGATGATCAGAAGCATCCCACCCCGTTCGTAAGAAACGTGATGTCGTATGATGTTCGCATTGTTGCAGCGCGAGAGGCACTTTACTTCGTTTGTTACAAAACCGCGATCCTTGGAGCTCATGTTGTTGGTGTCCATGACTTTCGCCGCGTAGATCGTCCCTGTTTCCCGTTCCTCCACACGCCACGCGCTGCCAAAACTGCCCTGGCCCAGTAACTTCTTCTTTATATATTTGCAATCCGGATGCGTGCCAAGAATGCCCTCCAATGGGTCGGACTTCGCGGCATCACCTTCGGCGGGGGGTTGCGGCAGGCCGCTATTGGCATTTGCCATCCGTTTTGTGTCGGTCATTGTCCTCACTATCACTGAGCAGAGAGGGAGAGAGAGAGAGATAGACAGCAGGGGAGAATACATACATGTACACCACACACAGACATAAAAAACAAAAACAAAAACAAAAACAAAAAGGAAGGATTGAAACATGACAGTGCAGTCAAATTTCTTCCATTCACTCCTTTCCGCCCAACGGCTTTGAACGCGCATCCATGCCTGGGGAGATGGAGAAAATCCTGCCACCCACCCGGAGGAGCCGGAACGACGATGATCATCATCCAAACGATCGGCAAGAAAATAATAATGGTGCGATGAATTAGAAGAAAAAAAAGGAAAAAAGAAAGAAAGAAAGAAAGGAAAAGATAAAGCGGTAAAAAAGTTGGAAAGGCATCGAACGTACGAAAGGCATTCAAAAAGTCTCAAAGAGGAATAATTAATAATAATAACAATAAAAGTCGCACGCGTCGCTGGCAAATAAGGCCTTCGTCATTATGTCGTTTCGTCCACTTCGTGTGTGCCCATCTGTTATTCTCGTTTTCAAAACATATCACTCACACTTCCCATCTCCCTCTCTCTATAAGCATAAACATACAGGTATATTATGTATGTATGTATATGTTCCCGTTAAATTATCATGGCAACTTTGCTCCTTTCCCCTCCTCCCCCATCTTCTCCTCTCTTTCCCTTTCCCAGAAGCCAATTGCGCCACTACGAACGTGTCTTGTCGTGCAACTGCGGAAAAAACAAGTGACCCATAAACAACTGCCAGTTGTACATCTTTACACAAAGACACACACACACACACAAGTAAGAATGAGAAGAGGGAGGAAAAAGCCTTCATAAAACAAAATACGATACGTTTACTCGGGTTTGCTGGCCATCTCACCCTCCTTAAAGGTAAGCTTCTCTACCTTCTCTGCACGGTCCCGTATTCGCCGCATGGCCCCCATCGCAGCCTTCAGCATATTTTCATCCTCAAAGAGGCTTTCAAAACAATTTTCTAACGCATCGGTTCCCTGGCATTGAGCCGTCAGACGTGTCACCTCTTCAACCGCAGTCAAGGGCGACGGCGGTAATAACGAGACGCCACTCAAAAAGACACCATTCAACTCCACCTTTTCTGTAAGCCACTGCATGTGCAGCGCATCATTAGTTCCCCACGGAATATCGGGATGATCCTGCGCAAAAGCCGCCTCAATTTTCCGGACTCCCTCGGAAATGGAGCCAACTTCTTTCGCCTCCACCATCGAGACTGCCACCGACAGTTCCTTCAGTTTGCGCTGCAGTTTGGCGTGAAACAGGCGTCTGCTATCCTTCCACGGTACCACGCCCCGCACGGCACCCGTGGCCTGCATGCGAAAATGGGTGTCGTGTAGATCTGCAAAGCGAATGGCAAAATCGCGGTAAAGCGGCAGCAGGCGGTTCTCTTCATCTCGAAGCCTCTGATGGTCTAATGCGGCAAGGTGTGGGTTACTGCGACGGATGAGCTCCCGTACATCGTTTTCCCGGAATTTGATTTCCACAACACCAGACGGCTCCATCACGCCACCGCGGGAGGTGGGATCGCAGTACATCTCAACCACACCGTTGTGGTTGATGGAAGGGTCAACGACAACCCACGCCCCGCCCCGCAGCTCACCGCAGGGAGGAATGTAAATAAAGAGAGGACAGTTGTAGACACGGACATTATCGACGATGGAGGCACCAAACTTGAGCACCTCGTCAAACATGTCTCGCATTCCACCTGAAAAACCGCGCCAGTTCGCCAAAATAAAGCATGGAAGGCCGCTCGTGATGAAAGTCGTCAAGCGCATCTGCCCGTCT